TGACTTAGATCAGCCCAGAGGTTGTTTCAGAGTTTGATCTGTGAGTTAGCCATGCCCTGACTTAGATCAGCAAGGGTGCAAATTTGAGTCAAAGTCATTCTTGTCTCGTTGCAATCATTGCATACATTCTGTTTATTCTATGTACATTTTATGRATGACAAATTAAATGTTATAATCTGTTATTTGTAGCTCTGTGTCGCCCTGGGTCGTTCTCTGATAATGGTCTACAAGAGTCTTTTGCGCCATGTGACAAATGTCCAATAGGAACATACCAGTTTGAAGAAGGACAGACCAGCTGTATGCCATGTCCATATGGCAGTACAACGATGACTACAGGAAGCACTACATTGGATGACTGTGTTGGTAAGTATTGTCGTTGCTATTATTGCATGCATTATTGTTGAATGTAATCTTCAATGCCTGTAACAAATGGTGTCAAATACCTGTCGCCCCATGTAAGGGAATCCGGACTTATGGTGGATTCCGGATTCCAAGCGCTGGATTCCGGACTCCGAGACTCTGGATTCCAGATTCCAAGACTCTGGATTCCGGATTCCAAAACTTTTGTATTGCGGGTTCCGGATTSCATATCGTTAATTTGCATCTGATGACAGATATTCTTGGTGGAGATATTGCACAGTGTGGGAGGGGCTACATCGGTTCAGTCTAGGTCGAGGTGATATTATTTGAGTTTATACTTTGAATTTCAAAGTAGCGGATTTCGGATTCCAAGGCCTGGATTCCGGATTCCAGAGTGCTGGATTCCGGATTCCAAAGCCTAAAATTTCGTGGATTCCGGATTCCGGATTCCGGTTTCCCTTACATGGGGCGATACCTGGCTCTTTTTGACCACAAGGTGTATTATAAACTCTGAATATAGGTTCATAGAGCGTTTTCACTCATGCGAGAAGGCAACCATATTGGTTTACCARAAAAATATTAAACTTTTTGCAAAGTTTTTGCATAAGAATAGAGTTCAATTCCCGAAGGATAAAATAATGTATTGTTTTGGTACGCCAATGATGGCCGCTGTGACGTCACGTGAAAACCCTCTATTAGCTAAAAGAAAATTAATATTATATAAAATATTTATGTAGTTCCAGCTAATATCTCCGAGACGTACCCTGCCAGGGAGTTGATTGTGGATCAAGGAAACGTGTTACTGCTGCAGTGTTTTATCAGTGGAAGACCAACGCCAAACGTCACATGGTCTAAAGTTGGAGGTAAATCCTTGAACGTCATTTTTGTATACTCATATAGAGTTTTTATAGAGGATGAACCTCTGGGGTTCCATTCCTTGACTTGTATCATATGTCAGTAGAGTTTGGTAGGCCTTTCCCTTGATTCGAGAGGTTTTCTCCCTCTGCAAAACATAACAAACTGAAATCCAATAAACCTCTTCGGCTTGGGGTAATGTTTTCCCATTTCAGACCACGTGTCATTCCCTTGAGAATAAGATTCTTCGTTTGAGCTGTATCCATATTCATGTGTCTTCTCATGTGCAACCGAGCGCAAACCTTAAACAAAGAAATGATACTCTAGGGAATGACATGTGGTCTGAAATGAGAAAACATTACGTCAGAGCCGAAGAGGTCTATTCGATATGTAAATTAGCCATGCCCTGACTTTGATCTGCCCAGAAGTTGTTTCAGGGTACTGATTGAAAAATAATATTTCGAGGAAAAGCTTTTCATTTTTAAAAGTTATATCATTTACACAGCTTGCTCTTGATTTGCTTAATTTATTATTAATAATGATATCTATAAATTTTACAGCTTCTCAGCCCAGTCAGGACCGTGTGATATCAAAATCCCTTTACGATTTAAGCATGGCAGTCATCGGCCGTTATTACGTCATCTCCAACGCTCAAATTTCCGACAGTGGAACGTACAAATGTCGTGCGCAAAATTCTTTAGCTACTGCACAACACCAAGTGCGTGTTGTTGTGCGGGCCCCTAAACCAACCCCCTCACAGTAAATGGTGTTATTTGGGATGATATAAAAATATTTATAGAGGTAAGACATTTTTTTTCCCAAGGCAATCAATCAATAGATCTCTTTACCTTGGGCATAATATTTTCCCATTTCAGACCATGTGTCATTCCCTAGAGCATCATTTCTTTGTTTAACGGTTGCGCATGAGAGACACAAGAATATAGATACAACTCAAACAAACAATCTTATTCTCAAGGGAATGACACGGGAATCGTACCGGGAGCCACCCTTTCTTTCGTGAAAAGTTTCTTGGGCACCATCGGTGTCACAACTAGTTCTACCTTTAACTCTACAATATTTCATTCTTTTCAGGTCGTAATAAAAAGGGATGTTCTTGGTCAAATTCTGGTGAAAACTTTAATTTAATGCTGAATCTAGGTTCTATTACTCGTGTTTTTTTGTTTTTGCCATGTCMGTGTTACAAATTATTTGGGAAAGCAATAAAACAGTTCCACTACAAGCTCTTATCTAATGTGTTATGACTTTTTAAATTATTAATTCCGCTTAATTATTACTCGGAAAATCAAAATAAGGTAAGCGAATGATGCCATGGTATTCGCGATTTATAATGGAACCACGGCATACGTACTATCCTTCCTGAGGAGGCTTCATCCTTCCTGAGGCTTCATCCTTCCCGAGGCTTCATCCTTTCTGAGGCTTCATCCTTCCCGAGGCTTCATCCTTTCTGAGGCTTCATCCTTTCTGAGGCTTCATACTTCCCGAGGCTTCATCCTTTCTGAGGCTTCATCCTTCCCGAGGCTTCATCCTTCCTAAAGGCTTCATCCTTTTTGAGGCTCCATCCTTCCTTAGGCTTCATCCTTCCTGAAGCTTCATCCTTCCTGAGGCTTCATCCTTCCTAAAGGCTTCATCCCTTTTGAGGCTTCATCCTTCCTTAGGCTTCATCCTTCCTGAAACTTCCTCCTTCCTGAGGCTTAATCCTTCCTGAGGCTTCATCCTTCCTGAGGCTTCATCCTTGATTCTTCACCTTTCTTAAGGCTTCTTCTATTTCTGAGGCTTCATTTTTTCTGAGGTTTCATCCTCCCTGAGGCTTCATCCTTCCAGAGGCTTCGCAGAGCTGATGCACTCGCACCAATGAAGATAGAGAATGCCGCAGCAAGCAATGATGATGATGATGATAATAATAATAATAATAATAATGATGATGATGATGATGACGATGACGATGACGATGATTGTAATCTGCTGATACTTTATTTAACCTTCTATAACATAAATGACTCCAAAACTAATTGATATATATAAGGAAGTGTTATTTCCAATTCCAAACTTAGCCGTTATTTGCGATGGTTAGTGTTGTTGGTTAGGGATAAAAGAGAAAGTTAGGAAGGGAAATTAGAGATACAGGAAGGATAGAAATACGAGAGAAATGGAATTGAAATATTWAAAAAATATCTTTGCTGATGTTTAATTTTTTTATTATTACTGTGATTTATTCCAGGCACTGTCGTGACAAAGATGGTTTTAGGAGAATCGTCGCAATTTTCGCAAACCAGGTGGGTTTGAAACTTGAAAGTCCCAGAGCGAGTACACGCGTCTGTCATATAATCATTGTTCCTTAGGACCAATCTTTAGTAAAATATATATATATATATATATATTTTAAAATTTTTCATTTTTATAGTCATTGTCAAATAATCTGTCTGTCATATAATCGTGGTTCCTTAGGACCTATCTTTAGTCATTTTTATAGTCATTGTTTCGTAGCTCTTGAATTTAGTTTATTTAGCATTGTTTGTACGTGTAATGTCTCATTTAAGTGTTTTTTCGTTACGTAATCCTATTGTATTRAAACATCTATAAATACACCCATACACCAAATTAGACGCGGTGCTAGATGGATCCGACACGTTCTAAAGAGTCTTAGATATATTCAAGCTGAAGTCGTAGAACTTGCGTGGTGTTAGAGACATTTAGGATTAGAAAGTCATTCTAGTCGTAATCATTTTTAAAAAGCATTCAGTGGAATTCATCAGTTAAAGCCGGATACCTACAGCAATCAAGGATTTGTAAAGCTAAAGATAGCAATAATTCAGTACGTATGGCCGTGAAACTAAAGACAGAGACGCTCAATGAAGTGTAGCAATAGAGAGAGAAAGATTGGACGAAAACCAAAATCTTAAAGAAACAAAGTGAAACTTGAAGAGGACAGACAGAGAACAGAACTTGGAAGAAAGAATAGAAACCTTGGAAAGGACAGAGAAATCATGTTTGCCATAGAGATATGTAGTGCTGTGTGCTTTCATAAGCACTCGCTCACAACCAATCAGAARGCGAGATTTGGAACAGTCATTTTATAATATTTATTATTATTATTATTAGGAGAAGCACGACTCGTAGCGGAACTATTTGAATAGTTCATGTAAAATCGAATGCAAAACGCAATTGTACTCCAAGCGATTTTACTACCTATTTTTAAGAGTTGAACACCTACCTCCTTAATGATACMACTGTGAAGGTAAAAATGAGGATAAAAATGGCATCAACGCATCATAATTTTCGGRGCGTTTTCTTTCCTCGTCAGTTGTGGTTAAATCCGTCTGGATGATTGTACTACTAAGATGCTCCTCAACTATGCCCACCTTTTCTAAGATCTGCAGGATTTTGTTGATGGCTATGCCGATACGAGAGAGAGAACCATTAACTATATCAATGAGAAGAGCTTTGTCAAATGTGTCATTAACTCCAATGGCGACTCCAGGTGGGAACTTGACGTAGAATACTACGTCAGTAATCAAGTGATTAGGCATGGTATAGAGTTGTAGACCTGTATCAGGAAGACTGGCAAAAGATTGATGTGGCCGTTTGAACGTCTGGAAAACAAAATAAATAACCAAAACATTTTTGAGTATAAATCCTCGCTCATTTTTCAAGGCTTGGTTAAGTTTTGAGTGAATAAAGTCTTCTTAAACTACGAAATTGCACTGTGATTCGGACTATGTAATTACAACGCACAAGTACTGCAGAAGTAGAATAGAGACGGCTTAGTTCATCAACGTTGTTGAGCGCAATKTTTTGATCGATTGTACACCTAACTTAAAACGTTACTAGAAATGGYGCAATGTTCTCAGGTATTGTGCAATGTATGTAGGCAGCTTTGCTTGATTAATTTCTGCATCAACAGCACCACGTATACGAAACTTAAAAAACAATTTCAAAACCAAACGTTTTATAATTGACAGCGAACAAGAAGACGTTTTACACTATTCTAAAACTGCACAAGGTGCTACYCTCGCTAAAGGAGAACGATTACGTTCTATTTTTTGATTGTTAAGCAACAACTGTGAGTTTTAAGAGAGTCAGGTTTTTTTCTTCTTTTTTTAAAGAAATATAAGTCGTTAAATACAACGAATCTTTAACAAACATGAATATTACACGGCTTTGCAAGATCACAAACGTCAGTGAAGTACAGTAGAACCTCACCACAGGACACCTCATAATTATATATACTTCTAGTTTACAGAGACTATTTCTGGCCCATGGGTGTCSTTATTTTGAAGGTTCCACTGTATCCTTCTCATCTACGGTGTTCAAAATTCATTATAATGTTTG